TCCCCATCACCTACATCTGGCATTTCTCCCCTTGCTATCTCTCCCCAGCTTCCCACCCCCCCCACCGTCCCTCCCCTATTTCCCCCCCAACTGACCCCAGTGTGTAGTGCTCCCCTCCCTGTGTCCATGTGTTCTCATTGTTCAACACCCGCCTATGAGTGAGAACATGCGGTGTTTGATCTTCTGCTCTTCTGTCAGTTTGCTGAGAATGATGGTTTCCAGGTTCATCCATGTCCCTACAAAGGACACAAACTCATCGTTTTTTATGGCTGCATAATATTCCATGGTGTATATGTGCCACATTTTCCCTATCCAGTCTATCATCGGTGGGCATTTGGGTTGGTTCCAGGTCTTTGCTATTGTAAACAGTGCTGCAATGAATATTCGTGTGCATGTGTCCTTATAGTAGAACAATTTATAATCCTTTGGATATATACCCAGTAATGGGATTGCTGGGTCAAATGGAATTTCTATTTCTAGGTCCTTGAGGAATCGCCACACTGTCTTCCACAATGGTTGAACTAATTTACACTCCCACCAACAGTGCAAAAGTGTTCCTATTTCTCCACATCCTCTCCAGCATCTGTTGTCTCCAGATTTTTTAATGATCGCCATTCTAACCGGCGTGAGATGGTATCTCAGTGTAGTTTTGATTTGCATTTCTCTGATGACCAGTGATGATGAGCATTTTTTCATATGTTTGTTGGCCTCACGTATGTCTTCTTTTGAGAAGTGTCTGTTCATATCCTTTGCCCACTTTTGAATTTTAAATGTTTTTCCTAAAACATGTTAACATATCTGCTTATCTTGTCTATGGCATTTGATAATTTTTTTTCCCTTTTTTATAAAGTCAGCTTTTTAAAAAAAACTTTTAGGTTCAGTGATACACGTGCAGGTTTGTTACATAGGTAAATTACTTGTCACAGGGGTTTGGTGTACAGGTGATTTCATCACCAGGTAATAAGCATAGTACCCAATAGGTAGTGTTTCGATCCTCACCCTCCTCCCACCCCCAACCCTCAAGTAGGCCCCAGTGTCTGTTGTTTCTTTCTTTGCATCCCTGTGTACTCAATATTTAGCTCCCATTTGTAAGTGAAACTATGTAGTATTTTCTATTCCAGAGTTAGTCTGCTTAGGATAATGGCTTCCAGCTCCACCCATGTTTCTTCAAAAGACATAATCTCATACTGTTTATGGCTGTATAGTATTCCATGATGTATATATATCACATTTTCTTTATCCAGTCTACCACTGATGGGCATTTAAGTTGATTCCATGTCTTTTCTATTGTGAATAGTGCTGCAAAGAACAATTTACATTCCTTTGGGTATATACTCAATAATGAGATTGGTGGGTCAGATGGTAGGTCTGGTTTAATCACCAAACTGCTTTCCACAATGGCTGAACTAATTTATATTCACACTAGCAGTATAGAAGCATTCCTTTTTCTCTACAACCTCCCCAGCATCTGTTGTATTTTGTAAAGTTGACTTTTAACTTGCTAAGTCACCCATTTAGAGAAATCTAGCCTGAAATGGAATTAAAATCAGCTGGTAGTAAAACCAATAATGTAATGGATACCTAGCAGAAAAGCCACATCAACTGAAAAGATGGGAAAGACCAAGAAAAGAGTCAATCATTTACTAGATAGATATAGAATATTTGCCATAAGAAATTGATTTCAAAAATTTATTTACATTTTAGCATCTCTGGATGTTCCTTACAATCTACAGTACCATACCATTGCTGTTGCTAGACAAATTGTATTAGTGTTGTTCCTACCACTGTCATTCAGATTGAATTACTTTTATTGATAAGTTTAGCCTCTATTTTAAATGTCTTCAAAAAGATTATACAAGGATTCAGAATTATGCCAAAAAGTTACTGTGTACACAGAATGCATGGAAAGAGAGCACACATTTGATATTGGCAAACCAAATATTCATCATTGGAGTAGTAACCCCAATTTCATGTTTTCTTGATAAAGTAAGCAAAAATAAGTATGTTTAACTTCTAAAACTCTGCCAAATTCTTTTCCAAAGTGGCTGTGCCATTTTGTAGCATATGAGAGCTCTGGATGCTCTATTACCTCACCAATATTTGGCATTATTAACCTTTTTAACTGTAGACATTCCAGTGGCTGTGTGATGATATCCCATTGTGGGGATTTTTTGTTTTTGTTTTTGTTTTTTTGAGACAAGGTCTGACTCTGTGGCCCAGGCTGGAGTGTAATGATGCCGTCTCGGCTCACTGCAGTCTCTGCCTCCGGGTTCAAGTGACTTTCCTGCCTCCCGAGTAGATGGGATTACAGGCACCCACCCACCACGCCTGCCTAGTTTTTGTATTTTTAGTAGAGACAAGGTTTCACCATGTTGACCAGACTGGTGTCAAACTGCTGACTTCAAGTGATCTGTCCACCTTGGCCTCCCAAAGTGCTGGGATTACAGGAGTGAGTCACTGCACCAGGTCTCCATTACGGTTTTAATTTGCATTTCCCTGATGACCAATGATGTTGAATATCTTTCACATGCTTTCTTCACCTTTTACATATCTTATTTAGTGAAGTATCATTTGAAATTTCCCACCCATTTTAAAATTTAGATTGGTTGCCTATTGATAGTTATTGGATTATAAGCATTCTTAACATATTCTGGATAACTTTTTTTTATCAGATATATATGTTTCAAATAGTTCTTTACAGTCTGTGGTTGGACTTTTCATTTTCTTAAGAGTGACTTTTAAATAGAAAAAGAGATATTTCCCCCCATTGCACTGGCTAGATTTTGCTATTTAAAATAGCAAAATAATATTTAAATAATGTTTAAATAAGATCTGTCCCCTTATTTAGGCCTTCTTTAATTTCTCTCAGTGTAGTTTTACAGTTTTAGTGTACGGATCTTACATATATTTTATTAAATTTATTCCTAAGTATTCTCTTTTAGATTCTATTTTTATTTGTTTTTAAGACAGTCTCACTCTGCCTCCCAGGCTGGAGTGCAGTGGCATACTCTCAGCTCACTGCAACCTCCACCTCCTGGGTTCAAGCAATTCTCGTGCCTCAGCCTCCTGAGTAGCTGGGATTACAGGCGTGCACCACAATGCCTACCTAATTTTTAAATTTTTTTTTAGTAGAGACGGGGTTTCACCATGTTGGCCAGATTGGTCTTAAACTCCTGACCTCATGTGAGTCGCCCCCCCTTGGCATCCCAAAGTTCTGGGATTATAGGTATAAGGCACTGTGCCTAGCCTTGGATTCTATTTTAACTGATGTTTTTAAACTTCAATTTTCAGTTGTTTGTTGTGAGCATATAGAAATATAACTTATCATACTACATGGCCCTTTTGTCTAGTGACCTTCTAAACTCCTTTAGTGGTTCTAATAACTTCTTGAAGATTCATGTCATCTGCAAATAAAGAGAACTTGACTTGTTCTTTTCTAATCTATAGACATTTAATTTTTCCCCCCATTGCACTGTTGAATTTCTAGTAAGTGTTGAATAGAAATGAAGTTGAATAGAGGTGAGAAAGACAACCTTGTTTTGTTCCTGATCTTGGGAAGGGTGTATTCAGTGGTTTACCATTATGTATATCATTAGCCTTAGGTTTTTCATAGATGTTCTTTGTCCCAATAACAAAGTTCCTATTTTATCACAAAAGAGAGTTAAATTTTGCCAAATGTTTTCTTCATCCATTAAGATGACTGTTTATGGCTTGTTTAGTTTTTAGTCTAATATAGAAGATTAAATTGATCAGCTTTTGAATGTTGATCTTCCATTTCTAGAATAAAAGCCACAGTTGGACTTCATATGTTAGACTTTTTGTATACTACTAGATTTGTTATAATTTTATTTAAAAATTTGTGTCAATGTTCCTGAGGAATATTGGTCTATTTTTTTTTCTTAGAATGTCTTTCTCTGGTTTTGGTATCAGGGTAACACTGTCCTTATGCAATGGGTTCGGAAGTGTTTCTTCCTATTGTATGTTTTATATCTTTTGGAAGAGTTTGTGCACAGTTGGTATTATTTCTTCCTTAAATATTTGGTAGAATTAACCAACAAAATCATCAGAGCCTGGAGTTTTTCTTTGTGGGAAGGTTTTTTAACTACAAATTCGATTTCTTTAGTAGATATAGGGCTATTTAGGATATATATTTCTTCTTTTTAAATTTTATTGTAAATTGAAAAATTATAATTATATACATTTAAGAGGAACAAAATAATGTTATGGTTTATGGATACAATGTGGAATTATTACAAGCAAATCAACATATCAATCACCTCAAATGCTTGTCATTTTTTATGTTGAAAATATTTGAAATTTACTCTCTTAGCAATTTTGAAACGTACAACACATTGTTATTAACTTTATTTGCCATGCTGCACAATATCTAGTTCTTCTTGATAATGTTTGGTAGTTTATATATTTCAAGGAATGTGTCCATTTCATCTACATTGTCAAATATGTTTTTGTAAAGTTGTTTCTAATACTCACTTCATGTTTTTAATGTTTGTGGGGTCTGTAGTGATGTTCTCTCTTTCATCCTAGACTATGGTAATGTATGTCTTCTCTTTGGTCTGATGTCTCTAATAAGAGATTTATTTGATTAATCTTTTCAGATCCATCTTTTGGTTTCACTGATTTTTTTCTGTTGCTGTTCTATTTTCTGTTTCATTGATTTCTGCTTTGATCATTGTTCTTTCTTCTGCTTACTTGGGTTTAATTTGCTCTTCTTTTTCTAACTTATTAAGGAAGAAGCTGAAATCATTGTTTTGAGACCTTTCTTCTTTTCTAATACAGACATAAAGTGCTGTACAGGCTCCCTATTGAAAATTATTATATGACCCAGAATATCTTGGTAACTATTTAATGTGTACTTGAAAAGAACGTATATTCTGCTATTTTGGGCTGGGGCATTCTATAATTTTGAATTAGGGGTATTGATAGTGTTGTTAAAATCTTGCATATACTACTAATTTTGTCTACTTGTTCTATCAGTTATTCAAAATATTAACACCTTTACTATAATTGTGGATTTGTCTATCCATTTCTGTTGTTCTCTGACGCTTCCTCTCTATGCAGATTCCTCCTCTCTCTGGTGCTCTGCCCTGAAAATTTCAGCCACCTTGGCCTCAAATCAACATCTGCCTCCACATTTTGGTGAGACAGCCAATTCTGTTTGATCTTCTTCCCCTCCCTGAGCTGATGCTTCAAACTGCATTCATGCAGTAAACTAGCGCAATCATCTTGTTACACTTCCCTCCAAGATTTCAGTTCTGTGCTGCCTCTTGTCCAATGTCCGAAAAAATGTTTTATACATTCTGTCCAGTTTTCTATCTTTCTAATATAAGAGGTTAAGCCCAGTCCCTATTATGCCATCTTGTCGGGAAGTATAAGTCTCCTTATTTAATTTTAAATCTAGAATAACATCTTCTCCAAAGATGTTAATGTCCATGAAAAATAAAAAGGATGGATGAAGAATGAGCTAAGAAAGGACTGGCTAGAAGTCATCTGGAGTGGACACGTTAGAGCCCTAAATAACCACTAAGTATGTAATATCTTGGTTCATTTCATGGCCACAAATGCTCAGGCAAATGAATTTCATCAGAAGTAGTTATTTAGAGTGGCAAGATTGAATGCCTACAACCCCTCAATATTTTAGTCAACAAAACATTACAGGACCATCCTGAAGAAGGAATATGAGTCTAGATTGTTGTCAACCTTTTGTTAACACCGCCATTAAATATAAGAAAACACCATTGTCTAAACTTATAGAACCAGTTCTAGCTACTTGGAAGAAAATGCCACAAACATCAGTGGACTGCTCTTTAAGAAATGTAGCAATGTATATTTTTGATGGCACAGAGAAAGGTAATTATCTTATTGGCATCCTTATTAGATGCCATCTCAATCCCCTAACCAATTTTCCAACCATGGTTGGAAAATTGCTGTTGATAGATTTCACTCTCTGTAACTTGGGGCCTGGGCTCTAAATAAGGACAAGGTGCTCAGAGGGAGGCAATCTGGGCCTTCAAACAGGATACAACTCTGTGCTGCTCAGAAGGCAGCTCTGTGGAGAGCCTAGCTCTGGATTCTAAGGGAGTACATAACTAGATTTAAAGATTCCTTTAATTGTTCGTTTGCATTTTGAGTTAGAGTTCCCGTTTGCCATCTCAAACCTTCAGCAGCATCTAACACATGTAGAATTATTGGCCATTCTGGTTAAAGATGACCTGCTGAAAAAGTTTATTTATTTCAGTCCCTTTCAAACACAAATTTCCACTTAATCCCCAGTTGCAGTATGATTCTCCCACCCTTAAATGTGCTTGGTGTCCCCCAAGTCTAGGAAACCCTGTATTTTACACTATTCAAACAGTAACTCTTTAGTCTTGCTAGTGTGGGGAAGGCCAATCGTCTGGCAGCAGGGCTTTGGAAAGCAGCCCAGGGGGTCTTTTTCTTCAACAGACTTACAACCAGCCCTGTGGTTTTTAGCTCAACCTTCACCCCAGTTTCTACTTCCTGAGACCTTTGAAGGTCCTGTGATGTGCACTTCTCAATTGCTTCTCAACTCTTCCCACTGCCAGTTGCTAAATCGACTGCCACTTACCTTTCTGCTTTCTTGCTTTCAAAATTTTGTTATTGCTGTCTACTCTCCTGCTCTATTTATCCTCCAGTTTATTCATTAAAACAAACAACCATTGCTGTTTTTGAGCTTTTAGGAAGAACCGGAGGTAATTATAGTTTTTAGGAAACATATTTTTTCCTCTTTGGAACTTAGAAGAATTGGGGCCTAGGCTCTGGATGAAAGCACCAAATTCAAGGGCATTGCTTTTAAGGAGCAGTGAACTGGGCTCGGCCATGCGTGGAAGGCTGGGGGACTAAGGTGACAGTGCTGGACCTTGATGAATCTGCTACGTTCATGTCTACTCATTCCAGCATTTCCAACAGGGAAGGGTGGGGCTGATCTGCTCAGAATATCAGCATGCTTTGGATCATGAAGAATCTGTGTTCTCCATGCTGCTACCTTTCCTCTTCCAACATTAGATAGCAGATGATGTACAAGGTATGACTAACTTATTTATGCCAGATTTTACTGAGGCCACTCCAGAAGGAGAATTCAAGAGTCTCAATACCAGTTTCTGGCACAACTAACATGCAAAATTCCACTCTCTTTCAAATGCAAGCCTTTTTCTTAATTGTTTTAATATCCCCTCACAGAACAGTTTATGAAAGCTTATATTTTTCTCATTTGAAAAAAAATTCATTTCATTTAAGGTATAATTCAGTGGGCTTACCAAAATCAGTAACATAAAACTCATACATGGTTTGATTTGAGCCTTTAGGTATTTCTGGTAAGTCCAACTTGCTTTCATGCTGCCGTAAGAAGGCTTCCAGCTTTTCTCTGCTTTCCAGTTCCAGAAGTGCTCCTAAACTCCACATCAGGCCAAACACAAATAATTTATGAAGATGCTCAACACAGGAAACACCACCTTCTTCTTTAGAGGGAATTAACCCTTCCAGAAGATTGAGAGACTGAAAATGTTTTAAACAAAATAAATTTTTAAATTAAAATTTTGAAAATAAAAAATTTTAAATAATAATTAAATTAAAAAGGAGAAAGGAAGACAAAAGAAAACAGATATGTCTCAAGCTATTGCTTGATCACTGTCCTACAGCTAACAGCAATAAAAGAAAGGCTATCCTGCTTTAGACAGGCAGCATGGCCTAGCAGAAAGGAGGGTGAACTGGAAATCTGCTAGTATGGTTTCTACCCCCAGCTCATGCCACTGACCTGAGTCTCAATTTCCTACTGGGAAAGCAAAAGGCCTAGACTTCTAAAGTTTGGTTATCCAAATTTTTGAGATCGAAGATTCTATTTCTTTGCAACATTTTGCAGGACTTAGTAAAATGTTTGGCAAATGAAGTTTTATTGGAGTACAGTCACACTCATTCAAAATGTTTGGTCAATAAAGTTTTGTTGATGCACAGTCACTCTCATTCACCTACGCATTGTCTCTAGCTGCTTTTGTGCTACAACAGCAAAGTTGAGTGCCTGAGACAAAGAGTTGTACAAAATACTTATTAATACTATCTGGCCCTTAAAGAAAAAGTGTGCCAATGCCCTATAGCATCAGAAAGAAAACTACAGTAAGACATGCTTGGTCTTTGGAAACAAAATTATTTCAAAATAAAAAATATTCTCTTATGCATTTTAAAGTAATTACTACATAATTCACTGATTTGGGCCTTATATATTGTTTCTAACCTACCCACAAATGGCTGACATCACTTAGCTGAGAATCAAAGCTCTAGAATGTTTAAGGAGAGATCATCTATAGACTAGGATTAGGAGAGCCCTTGAAGAACTATGATTAGTTCTATTTTAACAGAAAGACTAACAGGGAAGACTGACTAGGAAAAAAAGGAATGCTGGCTGGGCATGGTGGCTCATTCCTACAATCCTAGCACTTTGGGAGGCTGAGGCAGAAAGACTGCCTGAGTCCAGGAGCCTAGACCAACCTGGGCAACATAGGGAGACCCTGTCTCTACCAAAAAAAATCCAAAAATTAGCTGGGTATGGTAGTGTGAGCCTGAGCCCCAGCAACTACAAAGGCTGAGGCAGGAGAATAGCTTGAGCTCAGGACCTCAAGGTTGCAGTGAGTTATGATTGACTGCACCACTGCAATCCAGCCTGGGCAACAGAGCAAGACCTTGTCAAAAGAAAAGAGGGAAAGAAAGAAAAAGAGAGAGAGAAAGAAAGAAAGAGGGAGAGAGGGAGGGAGGGAGGAAGGCAGGAAGGAAGTGGAGGAAAGAGAAGGAAGGAAGAAAAGAAAGAGAAAGAAAGCAAAAAGAGGGAGAGTGAGAGGGGGAGAAAGAAAGAAAGGGAGGGAGGAGACGAAAGAAAGAAAGAAGGGAGGAAAGAAAAGAGGAAGGGAAGGGAGGAAGGAAGGAAGGGAGGGAGGGAGGGAAAGAGAAAGAAAGAGAAGTAAAAAGAGAAGGGAAGGGAGAAAGAGAGGAAAGAAGGAAGGAGAAAGGAAGGAAGGGAAAAATAATGCTACAAATTACTTGTCAGATACTTTTTATGTAAAGATTTTCTTTATCTGTTATATGCTAAATATGCAAAGCCAAGATTGCCTCGCAAATTTTCTTGATTGCAACAGGCCTTTCTGTTCTTTTCCATGAAGCTACCAACTTTAATTTAATTTAATTTAATTTTTATTTTATTTTTTAAGACAGGTTCTCACTCTGTCACCCCTGCTGGAATGCAGTGGTATGATCTTGGCTCATTGCAAACCTGACCTTCCAGGTTCAAGTGATCTTCCCATCTCAGCCTCCCAAGTAGCTGGGAGTACAGGCACTCACCACTACGCCTGGCTGAATTTTGTAGAAACAGGGTTTCTCCACATTGCCCATAGTGATCTTGAACTCCTGAGCTCAATCAATCCACCCATCTTGGCCTCCCAAAGTGCTGGGATTACAGTTGTGAGCCACCGAGCCCAGCCAATGAAATCATTTTCTACTGTTGGGATGGAACCAGTATTCCAGCGTGTGTGTGTGTGCACGCGCGCGTATTTTAAAATTTACTTTAAACCGGTATTCCAGTATTTGTGTGTGTGTTGCTTTTTATTTATTTAAAAATTTGTTTTAATTAATTATTGACTGTCATTATTAGACACACCCTCTGGGACAGGTCACTAAACCTGACAGTAGGAAAGATAGTTCATTCCCCTTCCTCTCACAACAACCCTCTGGGAAGTGAAAATAAGAGAAAACAGTAAGATCATTAAGAAGATCTTTAATAGGAATCAAAATTCTCAGAGCTTTAACAGCCACATTATCAAATGATTCTCAGGGACTATCTGAACTTTCTATTTCAGATGGCTGTAAACTGCAACTGAGTGAAAAAAAATCAAAATCTAGTAAAAAAAAGAAAACAAAGATCTTACTTGCACAATATAGTTGCACTCCAAGAGCTGCATTTTGGGATTGAGACTTAGTTTCATGTATGTGTATGTATCTTCAAAGGCTTTCTCATACAGTGTGTGGAATATAGCAGCTTCCTGTGCAGTGCGTTTCTTCAACCATGCCTGCAGCAAAGAAACAGAATCTCTGTTTATTAAGAAAGCGAATAAACGGAGAGACCTGAAGGTTCTTCTACCCATCTCTCTGCCCCACCTGTAATATTGGTCTCCAGCTGAGAGCAGAGCTGCTGATATAGACCATGCCCATCCTAGAAACTGTGGCAGGAGACGCGTTCTCAATATTGTGGACTTCAAACAGAAGCTTACAACTAGGGGCCATGGGAATTCGATCTCCATTAGCTAACGTCAGAGTTTTATTATCATCCAACACAGAATTTAAATTCTCAATCCAGATGGCATCCACAGGACCATCTAAAATGAGGAAAATGTTTTCACCTGCAAATAATTGAAACAGAAAATCACTTTTCATCTGCAAATGATTAAAATGGAACAATCAACAAATATTGTCTTCATAAGCTGGCAGGGAAAAAAAAAGATCACAAAGGAGGGTTTGTGCACACCTTTTTTAGCTTTTAGTGTTTTTCTCCACAGAGTAGAAAAAATCCCATCTGTCCAGTCATTGGTAGCCGTGTCCAGTCTGCCAAACATCTGAGGTGCAGTAATGGCTTTTGGATTCATTCGCATTTCTCTATGAGGCCTTCCACATTCCGTTTGCGCCTTCATTAGAATCGTTATTACAGTTGTCTTTCCAGAACCACTGGGCCCCAGAGTCATCAAGCCATGCCGTACCAGAGACGTCTCATATAACTACACAATTAACCAGTAAATTAACAAATGTAATTTATGAGTCTGTTGCTGATATTCATAGCAGTTACCTGAAGTTTAAAGGCTTTAAATAAGCTCTTCATTAAAGTAACTAGTTCACTATTTTTAAGTTGTAAAAAGTGTTGTTTTACTAGATACGCATAGCAAATTAGCACCACGTTATAAAATGACATAAGTGATAAAGTAATGACAATGTAGAGCCTGAATTACATTTTGGAAATAATTAACTCAGGATCTAGTTTTTGCTTCTTGCGTGTTGATGATTTCCTGTGATTTTGGTATAGTGGTTTATAACCAGCGGTTTTTCCATGCGCAAACTTTCTCGGCATCCACTGTGATGATATCGCCCCTTAGTGATGGTAAACAGCAACACAGAGCATCACAGTGAAGATCCCAGTTTCACAGGGGTCTTCTAATTCCCCAGAAGTACATCTTGAATGAGAATTCCCGTGCACGTGCGTGCTCCCAGGAGAAAACCGTAAGAGAAGAGGAAAGCAGGGAAGGAATGGGAAGAAGGTGCGATTGAGGACAAAGCCCTGTAGAGGGCAGACTTGAGCCTAATCCCACGGAAGACTGGAGTGTAACTTCCTCAAAGCTTGCTCCACCTGGAACAAGGCGAGCTTGACTTTCCTACTCCATCACCCATCAACTCTTAGAGAGGCTGGTTTGGGGTTGGTGTGAAATAAACTCCCTTGCAGCACCTACTCATTGTGCCTGACAACAAAGTGGCTGCAGTCCTCATTTTGCTGTGAGAAGCAAAAGCACACAGAAGTTAGGCAGGGACAAGTGGAAAGGTAAAAGAGATTCAACGAGACATTCTAAGAGCATGGACAGCTGCTGTTATAATATCCTGTCTGTAGTTTTCTTGATAAAAAATAAGAAGTTGAAGGTCTGACAGCTGATCAGAGATAGAATGAGTTATTCTCCTAACATTTTGAATAGAAATGTATTACCATTGTAAACTAGAGTTTAAAAGCAAAAGAGGCACTGTTCCTGACGTGTTCAAGAGCAACGTTGTCGACATCAACAAAGAACCCAAAATTCTAGTCACCACCCATTGAGATGGCAAGAATTTTATAACTCAGTATACTGTATGCATATCACATATAAAATCATGTTTCCCAGAAATTTTTTTAACACTTAAAATAGTTTCTACTACATGAATGATGAAAAAGACTTCCCTCATGCACATATTTCTTTGTAAGACTTGGATGTGTCTCAGATATGCGCACATCTTATAATCTGGCAAGAACAGCAAGTTAAAATAAGAATTGTTAGATAAATATTTCATATGCAGTTTTTAACAATGTCCACAATTTCAGCTCCTTAATTTTCCAAAAGTCCTGGAAAATACTCCCAAAGCATCAAGCTCATAGAGATTTAATCCTGTGTCTTTGCTATAAGTTCTTGATTCTCCTGGTAATCCAATCAAGTGGTTGGATGGTTGTCACAAGGATGAAATGTGATGAACAGAAAGACACCAACGTACACAGTCAAAAGGCTCAGGTTTTAGTGTAGGTGAAGGGTATAGCATGTCCACCCAAAGCAGGAGCAAAGTAGCACTCCTGGATTCCTCAGGCTCTGCACCCCACTGAGGCACCCAGCTGTGCTCAGTACTGCCAGACAGGCACAAGAAGCCAGCTGAGTTGTTCCATTCCCCCAGAGTTTTTATAACCTTTCATCCCAACATTGTCACCAAGAGTAAGTAACAACTGCAGTAAATTATTGCTTGATTACTGCAAGGCAGGGTTAATCCATACTATCTTCCTAAGACCACCACATCCCCCTGAGTATTCTTTTTTGCAATGATGTCTATGTGGTGTTTTAATTTAACATTTACATCAAGTAAGACTAATCATTAGTTCTTCTCTTCAGATAGAACTATTTAACACATACTTGTCATTATACTGATAATAGATTAAAATGTCTTTACCTGCACGAGTTTCAGGTTCCAGGGTGGATGGTTAATCAAACCTTCTATCTGAACTTGATTAGCTACTGCAGCTTGCAGTTCCTCATAAGTACTACTATCCAGTTGCAGTCCTGGAAACAGGTCATTGATTAAGCTGAGGAATAGGGGTTCATCTTCATCAACCTAAGGTGGCATAGTTTAAAATAAATTTACTCATTCAGTCAATAAACGTTTATCAACTAGCTGAAATGTGCATAGCACTTATCACTTCATGCCCAGAGAACCATTTACTACTCTCCTAATCAGGCTTGTATTCTCTAGTACTTTCTCTGGAATATCACTGACATGGTTTGGCTGTGTGCCAATCTCATCTTGAACTGTAACCCTCATAACTCCCACCTGTCTTGGGAGGGGCCCAGTGAGGCTTAATTGAATCATGTGGGCGGGTCTTTCCTGGCTCTTCTCATGATAGTGAATAAGTCTCACCAGATCTGATGGTTTTATTAAGGGGAGTTACCCCGCATATGTTCTCTTGCCTGCCACCATATAAGATGTGACTTTGCTCCTCATTTGCCTTCTGGCATGATTGTGAGGCCTCTCAAGACATATGCAACTATGAGTCCATTAAAACTTTTTCCTTTATAGATTATGTCTTTATTAGCAGCATGAGAACAGGCTAATACAATCACCACTGAATCCACATTGTACCCAAAATTCCTTCCTATTCAATGCGTTCTACAATCTTGTCCCAGTCTATTGCTCTGAAGTACAACCTCATTACTTTATCACATAAATGCTCTGCTTCTCACAGAGTGGCATTTGCATTAACCTTAAAAATGATAATTTGTAGTTCCAACCCCATGAGATTAAAATACTAATATTTTATTTAAATTGGGAAAATACCCATAACCCTACATGATTTCATCCAACAATGGCTGGAAAACTCCATCAGGGCAGTCTTCTGAGCCTTTCTTATAAGCAGTAGGTTTGAGTACACTGACTCCAACCCTTATTTGCAATGTCTTTAATACATAGATTGCCCTGTTCCCAACATCTGGCCCCTTATGACTTCTCTTTACTCTCCAGGGATCTGTGATGCTTTCTTGAATACTTGTCTAGGAATTTCAAAAATACTGTCCCTACAGTCCATGTTGGTCATACAGGCAGTGAGGTATACTGCCAGGATCAGTGGATCTGGCATCAGAAAATCTTACAAATTTTTGTCCCAGCTTCTCAGCTGATGGTGATTATGGGGGAACCCCACAGCCTCTCAGTCTCCATTCCCAGCAAGTGAAGTGACAATAAGCAGACTAGGCATCCAGATCCCACAGAGTTGCTGTGAGGCTCAAACAAGACGATACACCTGGAAAGACTTTGTAACGAACTCCACAGGTGTTACTTTCGTAACGAGAATGTAGCTTCCCAAGAACGATTTATTCTTTAACCTTGTACACCCATGGCATGGGCATAATATCTGGCATGCAGAAATCCTTATATGCCACATGAACCCGTTCATCAGCTAGTTCAAAACAACCTGGCTGGGCTGGGCATGGTGGCTCATGCCTGTGATCTCAGCACTTTGGGAGGCTGATGGGGGTGTGGATCATTTGCATCCAGGAGTTGGAGATCAGCCTGGGTGACATGGCAAAACCCTATCTCTACAAAGCAGTACAAAAATTAGCCAGGCATGGTGGTGCACACCAGTAATCCCAGCTACTTGGAGGCTGAGGCAGGAGGATAGCTTTAGCCTGGAAGGGGAGGTTGCAGTGAGCCAAGATTGTACCACTGTACTCCAGCCTGGAGACAAAGTGAGACTCTGTTTCAAAGAAAAAAAAAAAAAAAAAAAAAACCCGGGCTGTAACTGTGACAAGCATGAAAGTAGCATGCTCTCCACAGCAAATTTTCAATGTGATTTTAGAAAACAGAAACGGAGTTTATGTTTTGGGAGAGATATATCTGAGATAAGCTAGTCACATACAGAGAAAGCAAAAGTTCTCATGGTTCCCTGAGAATCCAGATTCTTATGCTAAGAATTTGTGTCACTTTGTGAATAATGGTAGAGAACTAGGTTGAATCCTGGAGCTGAGGCCCACTGATGACCTGGTTCACCTGCACACAACTGATAAAAGGAGGCCCTTATAGTCCCTGTTGGTCACAAGAGTCATGGGGTCTTTTGCCTTCTTCTGGAAGCACAGTGGTAGCTTTGCACACCCATTATTCCTGTAATTATTAGTGCTCATAGCTCATCAGCCTACCCCACTTGTCCACCAAATAAAAAGAAACCACATCAAAATTTCTGGAAAAGTAGAGAATTCAAAGAAGATACCAGTTTAGAAAGGTTCATATCTCTCAGTCCTCTCATGACAGTGCTTAATTCACTATCTTCTGGTCTGGCTCTTTTTTGAGATCCAAGAGTCCTTAATACAGATAGAATATTTCTCAACCCAAAGTCATAATGAACCTAAGATGGGAGAAAAGGGCAAAAAGATGGTTTAATTGAAAAACTATACATAGACTCACAGCTCACTCTATGCATGTAGGTCAATTCTGGTATTTATATGCCATAGTTTTAGGGTGGCTAAGCTGCAAAGGTTTATTAGCTCAACTTTCCTCTGACTGAAATATGATCATTCCATGGGAAAATCCAAGCTGTATGATCAAGTATTCACACCTTAAATATCTTTTGAGAATAATATAGTCCGATACAGTCTGAGCAACAATACGTTTTAAATGCATAACCAAGAGGTTACACACTATGTGATTATGTTTACATAACATTCTTATAATGAAATTCTAGACATGGAGAAAAGGTGAATGGGTTAGGGATTTGGGAGGGAGGTGGGCGTGGCTATAAAGATGTAGCATGCGGGAACCTTGTGGTGAGGGAACAGAGCCGTATCTTACATATTCCATACTACAACATACACACACCAGTGCAAGTATAACTGGTGAAACCTCAACAAACTCTGTGGACTGCTTCAGTGTCCATTTCTGGTTTCGTTATTGTGCTGTGGTTACAAGATGTCAACAGCGGGCAAGGCAGGGTGAAGGGTGCACACCTCCCTGTACATTCCTTTGCAACTTCCTGTGAATCTACAATTATTTCAAAATAAAACGGTCTTAAAAATACACAACCAATAGGTCAAATTCTAAAAACATTCTAGGAAAGAGTCAATGAGATTTTAACTCACCGATGAGCATTTATCAAGGGAAAATTAAAAAGCAAAAAACCAAATTCTATTGCTGGTGGGGAAAGAAGGTCTATAAAGTTACCTGTTTAGTAAGTTGCTCTTCACAGAGTTTGTAAAGAACATAAAATTTTTGAGCCAAGATAACATTTTCAAGAAAACCACAGCTTGCAAGTTTAACTCGCATAATGATCTGAAAATTAATAGAGTGAGATTTTTTTCAACAGCTGTAGTGAAAAACAAGTAAAGAACATAAAGTACATTATGCTTTTAAATCCTAGTACATACCTGTCTATCAGGAACCATCATAGCAACAGTTCTAAACTGGATTTTTAGGTTTTCTGGTAGTTCCTGGCGCCCAGCATATCCAGGGTTCTAAAAGTTAAAATGTTTAATTTTTAATTGCTGATACAATAATCACCTCTGAATACAAATATATTTCAAACCCCTAATTCAGATTTTAAGATGGTATTGAAAAATATTAGATTCATAAAATGTTCTTGTTTTCTCAAAACAATGTGTATTGGACCATACATATTTATTAATTTTCATATGCCATTTTATATATTTCCATTTTCATTATATTAATACAGTCACACAATTTTGTGTGGCAAAAATTAAATATCTGTGTGTCTACTGGCTTAAAATATAGAAAAGAACATGAAATAATCAAAGAGGTAACTGAATAAATACCTGATTATGATCTAAAGTATGTTAATGAAAGAAGGGAAAAAAACTCAGGATTTTATACCGATGAGCTTAGTTGGGCACTTTTCATATTCCATCTCTTCAATTATTCTTTGCAGTTATAGTTATAGAGCTCTTTGGCTAACAAAAACCCATGAAAGTGAGGGGAAATAAAGATGGGAATGATGGGAAAAACACTGAAAAGGACAAAAGTAGGGGCTGACAGGAAATGAAGGCCTCCTAAGAAGCAACAGGTTGAAGATAGGTCAGGCCCATGTCTCAAAGGAAAAGGTGGGGATTCAAAGACAAGTAAGGCCAACAGGGATGAGTTATTTTAGGCAAGTTCGTTAAAAACCTTCAGTACCTGACCATTTGCTGGGCACTGTCAATAGGCCAGGTACCTTGCTAGGGGCTGGAAATACAGAGATTGAGGCTACCTCTCAATACTCCTCTTATCCTTCCTTAGCCACAGAAGCCCACTTGCAAGCTGGGTACATCAACCCATAGATTAAAAACTACATTGCCCAGCCTGCCTTGCAGCTTAGATTTTACACTGAGAGATGCAAAGGGGCACACCCTGTATTGAAATATCCTTGATGTTTGTTTGAAGGGAGTTGACTCAGTCAATTGGCTGCAACACAAGAGAGATGCTTTCTGTATTGTCTTGGGTCAAAAGATGACCTTGAAGATGAAATTCATATGGAGTAGAACCATAAAAGGATCTTAAGAGAATAAATCCTCATATGTTAAACTACAACATGTTTTAGGTTTCAGTTACTTACAGCTTAATGCAATATCTAATTGCTATTTCCAATATTACTCTTAATCCAGGGAGCATGTTAAGCTTTTTTCTAAATTCTAAACCATAGATTCACACTGAGTACATTTCTTCATCCTATTTCCTGAGTTATAACCAATACTTCCAGATTATTCGTATTTCCCCCTAACTGCTTTACTGGATGTTTGCTTATAATAAAGCATATCAGAATTCTTCCTGATTTTGCTTCCTATAATTTATCATCTCTATCCATGGGAACATTTAAAAATTCAGAGTGCTTTGTGTTATCTTGCAACTTCGAGAGTTAACTTCATGAAAAACACATAAAAACTTTAAAGCTGGTAACACATAAAAGCATAAAAACTCCTGTTTATTCATGCCTTTGGTTTTCTATCTTTACAATACTGAATCTCAAAACTCACCCTTCATCACATAGTAACTGAATTTGTTACAATTCTTTGGTATAGGACCTTGTTAAATTATTATAGAAATTTTAAGTCATTTCCTTTTATTCAGTGTCAAAGAAAAACCAAGTGTGAGGTTAAGCAGTCAGATTTTGATGTTAGAGAGACAATAACTTCTTTCTCTTACTGGCTGGGTGACCTAGGAAGCTTTTAAGTCTCACTGAGCCTCAAGTAAGTCAGCTATATAATACCCACTTCAGAGAGCTATCGTAGCTATAAGATACAGTGTACATGTGAGAGAATATTTCAGGTCCTTTCTCTTTCTAGTTACATAATAGGACTGCACGTTTTCCCCCACCCCACCACCCCATGAAGTCAGGTCATGAAACTTGCTTTAGCCAATGACTCAGGACTTGTGGCACTTCTGGAAAAAAACTCTAAGAGTCAGAGCACAATTATTCATGTTCTCTTTCTCCTTTGCTATAGCAAAGAGCAATGATTGAGATAGTAGGTACCTTGTGAGGCCGAGTACCTGAGTAAGGACATACAAAGCAGCCCTGGCCTCACACGCCTACTCTAGTCAACCCCACAGTGGACGTGTGGCATGACAGAGAGATACATCTTGTGGTTTTAAGCAATTAAGATTTAGAGATTGTTTGTTACTGCAGAATCATATGAGTTATGCCATCAGATACAGCACATAGAACATTTAGCCTGCACCTTACACATATTATACTAAGTGGTCAATAAACAGTAGCTATTATTATCATTAGCATATTAACCTCTGTAGATCTGGATCTGAATTTTTTTTTAATTAAAAAAAATGTAGCTGGGCACAGTGGCTCACGCCTGTTATCCCAGCACTTTGGGAGTCCACAGTGGGTAGATCACGAGGTCAGGAGTTTGAGACCCGCCTGACCGACACGGTGAAACCCCGTCTCTACTAAAAATACAAAAAAAAAATTAGTCAGGTGTGGTAGCACACACCTGTAATCCCAGCTACTCAGGAGGCTGAGGCAGAAGAATTGCTTGAACCCTGGAGGTGGAGATTGCAGCGAGCCAAAATCTCGCCACTGTACTCCAGCCTGGGCGACAGAGCAAAACTCCATCTCAAAAAAAAAAGGAAACAAATTTTACTATTTTATCTTCTGTATGGGCTTCTATCTACTGACTTTTCAAAAAAATTATACAATAAGAGAGAACAGCTCATGACTCTTGGATAGTCAGTCATTTACCCACGAACACATTCTTTGTTTCATTTATGTCTACAATAATTAAACTAATTAAATTGCATGTAAAGTCTTTTTTCTCACCATTGTTAAGAAGATTCCAAATTCTGGATTTAAATCAACACAATCACCATCAGAAAAAATGAACTGTTTCTTTCTCTCTTTTCTTGCTGTCAAAACAATATAAATTTGTTGTGCTGCCACTGATAATACAGGCAATTCAATTCTGTTAAACTCATCAAAACAGCCCCAGGAACCTGACTGTGCAAGACCTGGCATGAAAAACAGTCAATTTGTAAAGTTTTACTCTATAATATACCTTCTTGATAACAATCATTTCTCCAGTATTCTCAAACCATTATACACTGAAACATGATTAGGTAAAGTTTCTTATCTGACTGTTTATAAATAAATATTTAATTCCAGTGATAAAGAGAGGTTTAATTGTTTGTATGTTATCATCAAAACAATGGAAATAGTACACTGCCAAAATGAAAGTACAAATTTGGGCTGGATTTTGAAAATAGAACCCATAGTGTTTGCTGACGGATTGAATCTGAGTATGAAAGAAAGGAGTAAAGGACAGGTTGAAGTTGTTTTGGCGGTGGTGGTTTTGTTTGTTTGTTGTTGTTGTTGTTGTTGTTGTGTCTGTGCACCTACAAGAAGGGAGTGACTGTTTAGTGAGATGGAGAAGCCTGAGGGAGGAGTAGATATGGGAAGAGAGATCGAGAGTTTGGTTTTAAACATCGTGAATCTAAACCTCTTAGACATTTAAGTGGACATGCTCAATTAACAGTTGTACATAATGAATCTAAAGTTTTAAGGAGAAGTCCGAGCTAGAGATATAATTTTGAAGTCATCATACAGATAGTATTTAAAGCTTGGGCCTACATAAGATCACCAAGGGAATGCACGTAGATCGGAAAGAGAAGACTACCAAGGACTGAGCTCAGAGGCTGATGTGTCTTCAAATATTGTTTTTCTCTGTCCATCTGAAAACACCTTCTACTTACCTTTCAGGATTTTCTCAAAATTTTCCATCTTCTGATGGCTACCTACTTCTTATTTTCCAGTGTCACTATGCTTTTTAAAAATCTTTCATTTCAGTGGGAGGGAGGCCACATGTATCCCGTTTGCTATCTTGATCTTCTCTACTATTATTTCAGGCAACTATACATTGATTCCATGTTCATAATCTAACACACATTCAATACATAGATTATAACACTAGCAATAGTATTGAACCATATTAGATTGTTGATCTCCAGCCATTTTCAACCTAGAAGAATGGCAATATCATATGGATCAACCCATACTAATGTTGATTATGTAAGATAGTGTCACTTTAGATTTATATAAGAAAATAACATTAAAGGGCAATAAAAATGAATTCACCAAAAATAATCCATATTACTTGACACTTGCCTTTGAAAATCCTTCCTAGGCCTCTGAAATCCATTTGATCTGAGCAATTAAACACGACCACATATTTTCCCAGACACCTTCCCATGTCTTTTGTGGTTTCTGTTTTGCCAGTGCCGGCAGGTCCTGCGGGAGCGCCTCCCATGTTCATGCCCAAGGCCTGCGCTAACGTGATGTAGCATCTGCAAATGTCCATCCAGTAAAGCATTGTGAGCATGGGATGACACATGACAGGATGGCACAAACAAAAGTCTAATGCAATTGGAATGGGCCTGTTTATTTTAGAGTTTGCGTAGCTTACATAAAAGAGGCGACCAAATAAGGCTGGGGTACTTGATATTCATTAAAAGTACTACAGTGAATCCAAAGATTTCTTGAGACAGATTTCAAAACCCTTCAATCCTGACTTAAAACCTTCAGACCTTCCTCCCATTATGGTCAGGAGAACCAAATGGGCAGTGTTGTGTTGGCAGATGTTTAACAACTGGCTCTCCAGAAAAAAAATAATAAACCTGGTTTTCACGTTTGCCAATTTCTATTGTATAAATACCTCTATCATGGGCAATGACAAGCTATCAGCATGATATCACAAAGTTGGGACAAAATACACGTAGACAGACACAGGGTAAGCACCACAGGCTGACACAAGTCAGCTCCGGCACACCACTGTAAATAGTTTCACTATGAAATAATTCACTAATTTAGAAAAGAGCAAATAATAATAATATAATCTCTTTGTATCCATGTTCCAGCTTCTGTTGTATTTGTTTTGTATATAAGTAAAACTTAGTAAAGAGATTAGTAAAGCTTCATGAAACATGATGCTTAATATGTAAACACCAATAGAAGAGAAAACACACTGACAAATTTATGTTGCTATGACACTGGGCATATGAAAGGGATAGGTTCAATAAATCAAAAGGAGGCTGAAGATGTAACTTGATTGTGTCATAATTTCACCTGGAGGCAGCCCCACTTAAAGTAACAGCAGAACTAAATATTAACCCAATCTAAGTCAATTCTAATAACATTTATTGAATGTTTTCTATGCACAGCATATTTAACTGGGTGTCGTGGGATTAAAAAGACCCAGTAATTGCCTAGTGTCATATAATGGAAAGAACTGTGATGGGATCTGACACTGACTAATTATTCATATTGGCCATGAAAATTCACTTTAGGTATCAATTTCCACATCTGAAAATCCAAAGACTAAATTACATGCTCTCCAAGGTACCTTCCTTCTTTGCAATTTTAACTACTTTTGGGATTCTAGGAACATTTTCCATCTTGCAATCTAAACTTAACCATTAAATTACTTACAGTCAACATTCAAGCTTGCTTTTATTCTTTTATCTTTTTCTACTTCGTAAAAATTCAAGGCACATGTATGTTTAAGTGGTTATTTCATTGTTAGGCTGACTTTAATGAGCTAGCATATACCCAGCACGACAGCAATCTGCTTTTGTTAATATTTCAAATGCAACCTTAAATAATGTTAAGCAGGTTATTACAAAATGAAAAAACAAAAATTGGGTTTCCTACCTATCTGTTAATGGAGTGATAACGAGGCGATCAGTACATCCCAGAAATTCATTTTGGTAAATAAAATCAACATCTGTAATAGACACCACAGTTTGATCCAAATCTTCCTTAAAATAAAATCTACTCTGTTTTAGCCATTCAAAATCAGTAGCTGATTTGATATGCATTTTTACCTTAAAAACATAAGATACAAAAAAGTTATATACTGCATTGCAATAGCATAAAACACAAGCATGTGGGCAGTTTTCATTTCACTCATTGATGAACTGATTCTTAGTCACTTAACAAATATTTATTGAGTTCCTTCCTGTGCTTGACACTGGGCTATGCGAACAAAGACAGACATGGTTTCAGGCTTCCAGAGCTTACGGAAAAGGGCAAAAGGCAAATGGTGAAACACATCATTGCAATAAAGCACAAAAACCACCACCAGAGAAATTGGGGGCTCATGAATATATGCAGCAGGAGGACCTAACCACCCCAAGGTATCTGAGAGGGGCACTCACAGTACGAAAATATCTCAGCTAAAACTCAGATAAATAGTAGGAATTAGCCAGGCCCAGAAGGAGTGGGGAACAAAAGTGGTAATACGGGAGTGGGAAGAGTAAGTGCTATAGGCAAATGCCCAGAAGATCTGGTTGGCATCTTCAAGGAACTGGAAAAAGGTCAGTATAGCTGGGGCATCCCAGGATCTAGAGAAAGAATGAGAATTGAGGCTTCACAGGGCCATGGGAAGGGGTTTAGGAATTGTCCTCATGACATTTGGAAGCCACTGAAGGGATTAAGCAGGGAAATACATGATTATACGTGCATATGTCTCCCTGCACCAGAGATATAGCCAAGCCACCCAACCTACCTGGTCATATACAACTGAGGCATGAGGTACTGGGCTCCCATTGCCATGGATGCAAGCTCTAGTACCTGGTCCATTCGAAGAGACAGAAACCAGGTAAGCACCCTTAGAAACTCCATCCCACCACAACCACATTCTGAGAAACTTCATGACTTTCTGGTGAAACTGGAAAAACCCCAGTCCTGCCCATTCAGAAGAATCAACACAAGAAGTGGCAAGTGGTCCCCTTCACTGCTCTTACACTCACCCAGTAGGCCCATTTCCAGGTCAACTGACACTAAAAAATGGACTTAACGGCTACTATACTATGTTCATATCTCCATCTGACCAGGCCCTACATACTCCTTGCTATTTACAGTCTTGCTTTTTGTTATTGTTGTTCCTTGCTTTAGTTATGACCTTGTTTCCTCCTCTAGTTAAGGACTTGCTTCCCACCTAAAGCACAGTTTGCATTCATCACCTTGAGTTACTTTCAGGTAACCCAGTCTGGCACCATCCCCAGGGACTGCTCTGTAACACAGGACTCAAGGCCATGGGGATGCTCTCAGCCAGCTACTTTCAACCATCTGTTAATTTGGTAAGGAGGAGGTGGAGAAGAAAAGATAGTTAATAGATTTATTGAGCTCTTGCTGTGCATCAGGCTGTTCCAAGCATTGTACATGAAAAACTAAAACGCATATATGTTGGCCATGAGACCTGATTTAGTTGGGATGCAAACACTTCAACGGTGATTAAGATAAAAGAAAACAGTTTCATACTTCTTGTATACAGGTTGTTTTTTTTTTTTTAATCCATTCTGGATGTAAAGTAAAGCTTTGCTTGTCACTTAATTTTAAAAGAAATGTCTTTTACAGGACTTCGGCTTTAGGAGCCAGTGAGAGATGTATAGAAAACATCCTCAAAAATATGCTTACAGTAGATATAATAATGAACTCCAGCCGGGCGCAGTGGCTCAAGCCTGTAATCCCAGCACTTTGGGAGGCTGAGGCGGGTGGATCACGAGGTCAAGAGATCGAGACCATCCTGGTCAACATGGTGAAACCCCGTCTCTACTAAAAAAAATACAAAAAATTAGCTGGGCATGGTGGCACGTGACTGTAATCCCAGCTACTCAGGAGGCTGAGGCAGGAGAATTGCCTGAGCCCAGGAGGCGGAGGTTGTGGTGAGCCGAGATCGCGCCATTGCACTCCAGCCTGGGTAACAAGAGCGAAACTCCGTCTCAAAAAATAAATAAATAAATAAATAAATAAATAAATGAACTCCATACTAGTGTTTCTTGAGGTGGACGTCAATGAAAGTCAAAGTATAATAGTAATTGCAATTAGTAAAAGCAAGTCAGTGGAAGGCCAAAACAATATGTGTGCAGCTTTCTGATATTAGCTTGATCCAGAGATAAATTTTAGAGCATTTTTTTCTCAAGCTTCAATATGTGTATCAGTCTCCTGAGAATCTTGTTAAAATGCAGATTCTGATTCAGTTGGTCTTGGATGGGAGGACGGAGGATGGAGATTCTGCTCTCCTCACCAACTTCCAGGTGTTACCGAGGCACTGTTCAGCATGTAATACTTTGAGAAGCAAGGATCTTGGTTGCAGGGGAATAGACAGACTGGCTGCATGTCCTTCAGCTAATCTTCAATAAATACAACTTATCTGCTCAGAACTTTCGATAGATGTTTAAAACAGGTAGTCTATGATCATATTCTCTAAAACAGAACCCAATCTGCATGAATTATGTGTCTCTGATAAAGGAAAGAGATACCTTTAAGGTATATCAAATCAAGTAGATTAAAGCAATGGGAGTTACATGGTAGGTAAAGATTGTCAAATAGTGGCATTTCAAAACGACCTGGGGCTCCTAGCCAGTAACAGAAAATCTTTGCTTTAGGAGAGCTTGGCCTTGGTCAAGGCCACTAATTAGAGTCCTATTCCTTTTTTTTCCCCCCATTTATTTATTTTATTGCATTTTAGCTTTTGGGGTACATGGGAAGAACATGCAAGATTGTTGCATAGGTACACACGTGGCAGTGTGATTTGCTGCCTTCCTCCTCATCACCTACATCTGGCATCTCTCCCCTTGCTATCTCTCCCCAGCTCCCCACACCCCACTATCCCTCCCCTATTTCCCCCCAACTGACCCCAGTGTGTAGTGCTCCCCTTCCTGGGTCCATGTGTTATCATTGTTCAACACTCGCCTATGAGTGAGAACATGCGGTGTTTGATCTTCTGCTCTTCTGTCAGTTTGCTGAGAATTATGGTTTCCAGGTTCATTCATGTCCCTACAAAGGACACAAACTCATCGTTTTTGATGGCTGCATAATATTCCATGGTGTATATGTGCCACATTTTCCCTATCCAGTCTATCATCGGTGGGCATTTGGGTTGGTTCCAGGTCTTTGCTATTGTAAACAGTGCTGCAATGAATATTCGTGTGCATGTGTCCTTATAGTAGAACAATTTATAATCCTTTGGATATATACCCAGTAATGGGATTGCTGGGTCAAATGGAATTTCTATTTCTAGGTCCTTGAGGAATCGCCACACTGTCTTCCACAATGGTTGAACTAGTTTACATTCCCACCAACAGTGTAAAAGTGCTCCTATTTCTCCACATCCTCTCCAGCATCTGTTGTCTCCAGATTTTTTAATGATCGCCATTCTAACTGGCATGAGATGGTATCTCAATGTAGTTTTGATTTGCATTTCTCTGATGACTGGTGATGATGAGCATTTTTTCATATGTTTGTTGGCCTCATGTATGTCTTCTTTTGTAAAGTATCTGTTCATATCCTTTGCTCAGTTTTGAAGGGGCTTGTTAGTTTTTTTCTTGTAAATCTGTTTTAGTTCTTTGTAAATTCCGGATATCAGCCTGTTGTCAGATGGGTAAACCGCAAAAATTTTTTCCCATTGTGTTGGTTGCCGATTCACTCTAATGACTGTTTCTTTTCCCGTGCAGAAGCTGTGGAGTTTGATTAGGTCCCATTTGTCTATTTTGGCCTTTGTTGTCAATGCTTTTGGTGTTTTGGTCATGAAGTCCTTGCCTACACCTATGTCCTGAATGGTTTTGTCTAGATTTTCTTCTAGGGTTTTTACAGTGTTAGGTCTTATGTTTAAGTCTTTAATCCATCTGGAGTTAATTTTAGTGTAAGGTGTCAGGAAGGGGTCCAGTTTCTGCTTTCTGCACATGGCTGGCCAGTTTTCCCAACACCATTTATTAAACAGGGAATCCTTTCCCCATTGCTTGTTTTTGTCTGGTTTGTCAAAGATCAGATGGTTGTAGATATGTTGCGTTGCCTCTGAGATCTCTGTTCTGTTCCATTGGTCTATATCTCTGTTTTGGTACCAGTACCATGTTGTTTTGATTACTGTAGCCTTGTAGTATAGTTTGAAGTCTGGTAGTGTGATGCCTCCCGCTTTGTTCTTTTTGCTTAGAATTGACTTGGCTATGCGGGCTCTCTTTTGGTTCCATATGAAGTTAAAGGTGTTTTTTTCCAGTTCTGTGAAGAAGGTCATTGGTTGCTTGATGGGGATAACATAGAATCTGTAAATTACTTTGGGCATTATGGCCATTTTCACGATATTGATTCTTCCTAACCATGAACATGGAATGTTTCTATATCTGTTTGTGTCCGCTCTTATTTCGTTGAGCAGTGGCTTGTAGTTCTCCTTGAAGAGGTCCTTTACATTCCTTGTTAGTTGTATTTCTAGGTATTTTATTCTCTTTGTGGCAACTGTGAATAGAAGTTTGTTCTTGATTTGGCTCTCTTTAAGTCTGTTATTGGTGTATAGGAATGCATGTGATTTTTGCACATTGATTTTGTATCCTGAGACTTTGCTGAAGTTGCTTATCAGTTTCAGGAGATTTGGGGCTGAGACGATGGGGTCTTGTAGATATACAATCATGTCGTCTACAAATAGAGACAATTTGACTTCCTCCTTTCCTATTTGAATACCCTTTATTTCTTTTTCTTGCCTGATTGCTCTGGCTAGAACGTCTAGTACTATATTGAATAGGAGTGGTGAGAGGGCATCCTTCTTGTCTAGTGCCACATTTCAAGGGGAATGCTTCCAGTTTTTGCCCATTCAGTATGATATTGGCTGTTGGTTTGTCGTAAATAGCTTTTATTATTTTGAGATACGTTCCATCGATACCTAGCTTATTGAGGGTTTTTAGCATAAAGTGCTGTTGAATTTTGTCAAAGGCCTTCTCTGCATCAATTGAGATAATCATGTGGTTTTTGTCTTTGCTTCTGTTTATGTGGTGAATTACGTTTATAGACTTGCGTATGTTAAGCCAGCCTTGCATCCCCGGGATGAAGCCTA